GTCATTGCTACCACACCTGCGCGTCACGCATCGGCCTGGTCGGTCACTTACGAATCTCTCGCACAGGCTGGTGAACCAGTGCCAGGAAGACTAAAATACCCTCGCCACAACTCCCCGCACATCCCTCCCCCACACCTGAACACTTCCCACATCACATACTAGAAGCACCTAATCGACGACTCTCGCGTAGGTGTGTGTTCAAATGTGCTAAAAGTCGTGGCTTGAAAGGCTGCCCTCCGGTGGCAAAACTTGGACCTCGCGGTTTGCCCAGTGTGTGTTTGCATGGGGTGGCAGATTGGTGAATTGAGAGTCAGCTGCAACGCCTCCATCCCGCTCTGTGGGATCCAAGCGGATATGATGGCATGTCTAGAGACGGTTCCGGCCACACCAGCCACCTCTCATCTTCGGTCTTCTCGACTTCATCATGACAGCGGGCTCAGATGAGAGAGTGCGGCAGATGCGGCACAAGTCTACTACCACTATAATATAGTTCCATGTGCAACCATGCTGTGGCTTGGGCACCGGAATGTGAAGCAGCTTCTCGTTATTACAGACGGTCTTGCATTATATTCCAATGGTTTTACGGTTAGGTTTAAGACGCAAGCATTCGGTGCAAGGCTACCTGAAGCATGGGGAGTCCATATTCTCGTGTCCGACCTTATGCTGGTCCGGCAGTCTTCGCCTAGGGGAGATTTAGGGAGTCAGGGGAATGGGATGTGTGGCTATCGTTTGACATTTTTTAGCCGACACATGCGCTTGACAGACGCATTTTTAGGTACCACCCGACCTCCACGTGTACTGTCCTGCAATTAGGTCTGGGCGGGCAACGGCAGATTTCCGTCTAAGGTAAAGTTGTCTCAGTCGCCAGAGCGCGAATCCTAAAACCTGCCAGCCCAGACTAGAAATCTGGCTTGTCGATCACCAAGGCCGACTTTAAACAACCGTTATTTTCTCTCCTTTCCGTCAGTTCACAGCTTCCGCTGCCCTTACTGCTACGTATGTCTTTGTGAGCATCATGTGTGTGGTCTTCCCCTGGCCACTAAATCACTTCTGTGGCTCTAACGTATATTCGTCGTCTGTATAGGGCACGCGGACGTACAGTAGATTCCCCCTCTAATGAAACGTGAACTGAAATGCTGAAATGTGTATTCCATTCGGAAAAATTACTTAAGTTGATTTGTAATACCGATTATCTCAGGGCCTAATCTCACGCCAGGATGTCGGCTTTTTAACTAGCTTCCTTCGTATTGCCTGCAAAAAGTATACTCCGCAACATATGGCTACTTGAATAGTATGCTTTTCCCATTTATTTTCACTACCTTCTTAGATTCAAATGTATTTTATGGAAAATATTCCTTCTTGTACTCGCTTGGCAGGCACTTAGGCTTTCTTCAAATTTATATCTCAAGAAACTCTATCTTCCGGTTTTCAAAAATTTTCTAGTTATGAGACTTTCTACGGCCGTTAAATGTTCCTTCATAATACATCATATTCGTCAACATCTTAAAATATACAATATTATCCAGATCCATTGCAAAATATGTAATTTTTCCTTAGACAAGATATATACAACATGTAGTTTGTAAACCTTGAATTCAAGTTTGACGGTCGACATTGGGCAGTTTAGAACTATATTCTTGCTTCAAATATAAGTTTTGAATAAGGCTTAATTTGTTACTAAGCGAGCACAAGGAAGAATATTTGTGTGACGTCTCCTATTTAATATATTTAAATTTACAAGGGTAGTGAAAATTAATGAGAAAAGGCGTTTGCCTATATTTCCCTTAATAAACTTGACTTGACTACTTAAATAGCCATTTTTACAAAATATACTTATTGCAGGCGGTCAAGAAGAAGGACGTTCAAAAGTCGACATTCTGGCGTGACTGAAATGTCTTGAGATCAGGCTGTACGATAATCGGTATTGCAATCCAACTTCAGTAATTTTTTTAAAATGGAAATCACATTTAAGAATTTTCGTCGAGGTTTCATGATATAGGGAGCCTGCTGTATCTTGGAGGGTATTAACCTGAGGCACTCAAATTCGCGTTCTGAATTCTCTGATGGGAATTTTCGCAACTCTAATTTGAACTCTGTCCAGGTCCGTTTTTAAACTCTTTCAAATAAGTCTCAATCGAATTTAGGTATTTTTTGTAACATTTTAACATTATTAGGTGGCACTTGGAAAAAAAGTAGATTGAAATCGGGAATACGCCCCCCCCTCCTTTCATAGTTTCGATGGTCTTGCGCTAAATTCCAGGAAGCCTAAATTCCCGACTTTCCCTGGAATTTAGCGTAAGGCCACCTGTATTCCTGGTGGTTCCCGTTCTCGTGTACTGCCAAGGGCGGCAGGGAGAGGAGATATAAAAGACCTTTATCGAAAAACAATTTAACCACTTTCGCAAGCCTTTGATCAGCCCTTTGGTGCGCAATTTTGAACTGAACTCTGAACCTGCGGCCCGCTCTCCATGAGTTCAGGGGAACCTTCGGACTATAGGTCACAAGTCACATTGTTATCAAGCTCGTGGTTATCGGTCGGGTCCTAGTAGCTCGAGCGGGTAGAGTG